TAAGCAACGACTGCAAAGAATTCAAATAAGACAATAGCACTTGTTGAATTTATTCGCTCCCTGCGCCGCACAGAGTGTACCGTTCATTGAGTGGATCGCATTCTCACAGTTTAGTTGGAAAAAAGTGTGAGAAGCAAATGGGAGAACCACATACTCTTCGTCGAGTGTTGTGAGATGTATGCTTACCTTTAACATTATATGAGATACATAGCTGAGGTAACAAAATAACTTTAATTCTACATCTCAGAGATGTGCTCTTGAAGTTCTCCAGACTCCAAGGCATTCTACCAACCAGTGGAAACTAACGATTTTAAATTGACTGTCTACTTGACTACCCAACAAACAACATGAGCTAATTAAAGGCTGAATAAGCACTTTTTCAGCTCAAGAAGCATGATTTAACCTGAATAAGCTCTTTTTTTTCCTTTGGTTTGTTTTTTCCGTCGATCTTGTTTTCCGTGCTGAGCACCAATGCTACCGACGTGCCAGGAAGGCAGCTCCCACACCTGGACCCTACCTATTGACCCATCAACTCATGAACCGGGGACCAATGGCTTTACTTCCCATCCGAAGGAAGGCGTGATCAGAGATGTTATGCCTCAGAACATCCCGGCGGCGCCGACTGGGATTGAACCCAGGCCTGCTGGGGTGAGAGGTAATCACGCTTACCACTACACCACCGGCGCCGTTTGAATAAGCTCTTATTCTGCTTCCAATGTTTGTTGGGTAGCCTATTGGTTCCAAGCAAATCTATTAAATTAGCCCATTCTAGTCGATATTCTAGTACTACACTATGTTTGTTTTGATTCGCTATGAAATTTCGACAGATAAAATGTGGGGTTCGTGGATTTTCCTATGTTTCGAGGGGTGCATCGATTAGCTCTGGACCGAAGATAGTACCAGAGCTGAGGCAAAAAGTTGAGCACGTTACCTCTAGGATTCTACTATGGCTCGAAAAAAAAAATCAGGACCGGTAAACGTTCGTACAGGCCCATCATCTCATGCAGAGCATATTGATGAAAGAAAAATGATATCGAGTACTCCAAGCTATCCTAAAAATTGGCTCAAAATGTTTTACACACTTAACAAAATATTCTGCAATGTTCCGACCATTTCATACCATTTAAACCTGAAGAGCTTCGTGGCGCTCGATTGTAATTTTAGGGTCTCCAAACTATCCTGAAATGTACTGCGGAAAGGCACTGTATCAGGAACCCCAATAAAGCTACTCAGAATTAAGGGTTTAGGGCCATTAGGCCGAATGCGTTACATCCAATGGATCATTAGTCCGAATTTTTAAAAGTTATTGATTTAACTATTCTATTAAACAACCAGTTATTGATTAGCTATTGTATTGACCTTGACCCTTTCAGATTTGAGTAAAACTTTGTACATAGGTTTGTTGGTGCCCAAGGAGGTATTTTCCATTATCAGAGCATCTGTAAAAATAAGGTTGTATTTTATCAATAAACCATAGCATGAAAACGATTTATTGTTTTAAATTGTCTTGGAAGAAGTTGTAGGTACTAAAATTATATTTAAAGAAAACGTACACCGAGGGAAAAACAACTGTTAAATTATGTTTGAAATTTACATTGTTCATTTTCTCAAAAGACTTTCACGATTATCTTATTTACAATGAAGAATGCTGAAGTTATGCCCTTAAATATGGTGCAAATGGTAGAATGCTGGAAAGTATTATTTAAGTTATGTTTTATTTTTATTAAATTATCATCATAAAATCTTATATTAAAGGGTGTCCACAGTTAAATTGCATCACTTTAAAAAAGCTAAAACATTTTGCCCATTGGGATAATTTTATTTAAATTTTGGGTAAGATGGCTTGAGTGTGTATTGTTTACACGGCGTGAGTTTCAATGTGAAATTTCTGGTAGCAATCCACATCTTTCGCACAGAGCCATCGGAAAGAGTTTGGGAATCCAACAGTCTACAGTTTCTCGTGCCATAAAACGTTTCGGAGAACGTTTAACTGTCAATCGGAAGCACATGACTGCAAGAAAAAATGTTCCGTACTGCATTGAAGATCACATGCGACTGGTTGCTGCCTTCAAACGCAAACCGAACTATTCCGTTGGGGATGTCGTGAAAAAAACTGCACCTGACCAAAAGTTTCGTGCAGAAAGCCAAGAAACGAGCAGAACTACGTTCATTCAAGGTACAGAAAGCACCAAACTGCAATGAACGACAAAATAGGACACGACTTCGACCAACTGTATCGGTGTTCGAACGTATTGTGAATCGCAGATTGACGACTGAGTTAGAGCTGGGAGAGCCATCGATACATACTTGGCGGAGTTGGATCGGTCATTGCCAAATCGAGACGAACACTGCTTGATAGCATCGCTTGATCTGTTGAAAGCATACAACACCACTTGGCGGTACGGAATCTTGCTGAACAGCTTCCTCGCTGACAGGTCTTTCCGGGTGATCGTAGAAGAACATTTATCGGATGAAATGCCATTGGAGAACGGAGTCCCTCAAGGATCAGTGTTGTCGGTCACGCTATTCCTTATTGCGATGCAGACGATTTTCAGAGTGGTGCCCCATACTTTCACCGTGCTTCTCCATGCGGACGATACTTTGCTGGTGGTACAGAGGAATAAGAAGCGTCCTCTGTATCGAGATCTACAGGCTGCAGTGAAAGCTGTCGACAAGTGGGCGAAAAGCATCGGCTTCAGAATTTTGAGAACCCAGCAACGATATCTTCATCGACCGCGCAGCTGTACCGAGGACGAATAAACTGTAAGTTGTCGGCGTCAACCTTGACCGGTCGCTGTCCTTCAAACACCATCGCAACATAGTCAAAGTAACGTGTGACTCTAGGCTGCGGATCTTGAAGATGATTGGGGCTAAACTTCCGTGAGCGTAACGCGATTTTCTGTATCGGCAACCGTCACGTCACGACTTATGTACGGTATCGGACTCGTCAATAGAGCGAAGGATTCGGTGGTGCAGACTCTTGCACCCATCTACAACCGGATGAACCGGTTAGCCTCAGGGACGTACGTCGCCAGTCCGATTCCAGCGATCATGGCAGAAGCAGGTACATTTCCGTTCGATCTAATGGTTCTGCAAGCTGTAATTCGTGTTGGAATTCGTTTGATGGATAATACAGTGCGTCCCATTGTGCAGGAGTTGCTGACAAACCGGTTTAACCGTGCTTTGACCATTACGGAAGGCTCTAAGTGCCAGAACATAGTTGGAGCAGGTGTATTCAGCAACAGCATTCAACAAACAATAAAGACTTTTTGAAATTCTCAGGGAATAAATAAACACATATTAGCTAAGCTGGTTTATTCAACCTCCTCTCCTAGGCTAAATGACCGCCCTTTGAACCTAACGCTACCCATCAAATCCTGTGCATCACTTGCGCCATCTTGCTTACACACTTTCATCCACCCTTTTTTCAAATCCGTGTCGTTTTTGAAGACCTTCACTGCTTTTAGGAGCTTTCCCTTCATAATTGCCCAGAATTTTTCTATTGAGTGAAGCTCTGGCGAGTTTGGCGGATTTGCCTCCTTGGGTACAAAAACAACATCGTTGGCTTCGTACCACTCCATCACCGGTTTCGCGTAATGACTCGATGCCAAATCCGACCAAAACAGAGTGTCGCCTTGGTGAGACCGGACGAAGGACAGCAGGCGCTTCTGAAGGCATTCTTCTTTATAAATTTGGCCGTTGATGGTCCCGGTCGTACCCACAGATCACCTGCCACACTAAGTATATCTTGGCAAATTTGTCGGAACTTCTCCGGAACATCCAGGTGGGACTTGCCAACGAAAAACTCCAAGCCGGGGATCTGCTTACCATCCACTTTAATGTACGTCTCATCGTCGATTACGATGCATTTCGGCTGCACCAACCACTCGTGGTACAGCTTCCTGGCACGGGATAGGCGCCTTCCATACCATGAAGGCAAGAAGTTCGTCCCGCTTTATTGTCTGCTGGACGAATCAGCTTGAAGAATTGACCTTCTTGGCCACGTCACGATTCGAAAGGTTCGGATTGCGCTTGAAGTAATTCCTCATCTTCCATGCGTTCGTGGTGTCGGTCGTCTTCGCTTTTTTTCCGCTGCCAGCTCGCCGCTGGGTCCTCTAGGTCTCCTTGAACGATTTTACCACACGGGACACGGTCGTATTGTCGATTCCAAACTGTTTCGTGATCCACCTGTGGAACTGGCCTGGATTTTCCACGACAGCTCCCATAATTTTTTGTCGAAGGAATACTTGCTTGGAAGCCACCTCGATAACCCCACTTGACTACCCATGCAATAATAAGATATACATAAACGAAAATGTTGCATTTTTTTTTCGAGTACAATCTTTAGGACTTTCATCACAGTGTAGCGTGTTTTCTGCGGAGGCCTTTGCAATGAAGGTGGCCCTCATCACAGCGAGAGCTTCAAACGAACGTGTTATCATTCTGTATGATTCGGTCAGCTATGTTTTGACCATAGAGAGTGCCGGCGCCGGTTGTATAGTGGTAAGCGTGACTACTTTCTCACCCCAATGGATCTGGGTTCAATCCCAGCCGAGGTCGGTGGAATTTTTCTGAGGCATAAAAAAAAGTTGGAAGGGTTGTATACTAGATACGACCGCAGGGTTGGCGTTGAATAACGTCTGTTTTTGTTGTACTTAATTGTTTTTTTTTTTTTTTTTCCTTTGGTTTGTTTTTTCCGTCGATCTTGTTTTCCGTGCTGAGTACCAATGCTACCGACGTGCCAGGAAGGCAGCTCCCACACCTGGACCCTACCTATCGACCCATCAACTCATGAACCGGGGACCAACGGCTTTACTTCCCATCCGAAGGAAGGCGTGATCAGAGATGTTATGCCTCAGAACATCCCGGCGGCGCCGACTGGGATTGAACCCAGGCCTGCTGGGGTGAGAGGTAATCACACTTACCACTACACCACCGGCACCACTTAATTGTGTATATTATATTTTAGGAATATTCTGCGCTTCCAGAGCTCAGCTGTTATGGCTCTGCAGGAAGCTAGCGAGGCCTATCTGGTCGGTCTGTTCGAGGATACCAATATGTGTGCCATCCACGCCAAGCGTGTCACTATCATGCCGAAGGACATCCAGCTGGCTCGTCGTATTCGTGGAGAACGCGCTTAATTACCCCGTCGAAATCTTAACAAAAACCGGCTCTTTTCAGGGCCACCACAATAATTCAAGAGAGTTGTAGTGAACTTTTAAAATTTTAATTCGCTCGTTCCGTTCTAGTCCATATTAAGTAAAGAAGTAAAACGTGTACGGGGGTTTGTTTTCGAGATTTTGAAAACTAACACAGCGGGTCCAGTATGATTTGGAAATAAATTTCACCTTTTCATGTAGCATCATGTAGCCCAATCCACTAGAAAATAACGTATATTTTATGGTACTTTCTCAGTAAATTTTATTATGTTTTCAAGATTCTCGTATCCATTGTTAAGAATTTTAAAATTATTTTTCGAGATAAAATATGGCTTGCAAAGATTCAACATTCGAGATTCAAGTGTCGGAAAGGCATTAGAAAATTAATCGTTCAACTCTTTCTTGATAATGTTGTGGCCTTGAAAAGGGCCATTTTTCCAACGCGCTCGGCGTAGTTGCCCTTGCGGAGCAGACGGTGAATACGACCGACTGAGAACTGCAGCAGCTGGTCATTCCATGACGGCGGCCCAGTATACCGGAGCACTGGCACCAACGCACTCGGCGTAGTTGCCCTTTCGCCCCCAGGCTCTGGTACTGCTGCTCTGGTACTGCTGCTCTGCTGCTGGGTCGACGGTCAGATAGACAATGATGGAACGGGCGACCTTGTTGGACGCTTATATAGTAGAACAGAAAATATCAGAGGTGTCAGATACTCGCATCTGATGTCTCGGTTCGAGAATGTATAAGAATATAAAAAAATCAATCGATTTTCACCATCTTTAGACAATGGTTTACTTTTAACCATTTTTCAATAGTTTTCAGAAAGAAATCAATAGTTTTGAAACATTCAGCAAATTGCTAGAAATATTTGCAATCGATTGATGCCATTATCTCGTAAATCTATCAAGAGACGGTTGAGTTATTATCATTTGAAATCTTTTAATTTTTCGTAACGCATCCAAAATGACTGTTTTCAATTTTGTACCCCCGTATGTTGCCGAAAGACGTTATCCAACGTCAAAATCTCTGGTCACGTCTTCCTTGGGAAGGGAAGTAAAGCCGGTTGGTCCCCGCCCATGTGTGTTGAATGGGTGCGATATGCTACGCAGGTGTGGAAGCTGCCTTCCTACACATTCGATTGTCGTCAATGGATGGCAATCGATGTCCGTCGGTGATTGGCACTAGATTGCGGAACAGAGACCGACGTTAAAATAAAGGAAAGAAGTGTTGTTTCAACGATTTTAATTCAGCCTTTGTTTGAATAATTGTTGTACTTAGACCACATTAACCCTTGTCCAGCTTTTAAACATTTAAATCTGGTGATTGTAATCATCCGCTCGCAAGTCTACTGGAGGGAAGGCTCCTCGCAAGCAGTTGGCAACGAAGGCCGCTCGTAAGAGCGCTCCAGCCACCGGAGGTGTAAAGAAGCCCCATCGCTACCGGCCAGGCACCGTCGCCTTGCGTGAGATCCGTCGCTATCAGAAATCCACCGAACTGCTGATCCGAAAGTTGCCTTTCCAACGTCTGGTTCGTGATATTGCCCAGGACTTCAAGACCGATCTGCGCTTCCAGAGCTCAGCTGTTATGGCTCTGCAGGAAGCTAGCGAGGCCTATCTGGTCGGTCTGTTCGAGGATACCAATCTGTGTGCCATCCACGCCAAGCGTGTCACTATCATGCCGAAGGACATCCAGCTGGCTCGTCGTATTCGTGGAGAACGCGCTTATTTACTCCGTCGAATTCTTAACAAAAACCGGCTCTTTTCAGGGCCACCACAATAATTCAAGAGAGTTGTAGTGAACTTTTAAAATTTTAATTCGCTCGTTCCGTTCTAGTCCAGATTAAGTAAAGAAGTAAAACGTGTACGGGGGTTTGTTTTCGAGATTTTGAAAACTAACACAGCGGGTCCAGTATGATTTGGAAATAAATTTCACCTTTTCATGTAGCATCATGTAGCCCAATCCACTAGAAAATAACGTATATTTTATGGTACTTTCTCAGTAAATTTTATTATGTTTTCAAGATTCTCGTATCCATTGTTAAGAATTTTAAAATTATTTTTCGAGATAAAATATGGCTTGCAAAGATTCAACATTCGAGATTCAAGTGTCGGAAAGGCATTAGAAAATTAATCGTTCAACTCTTTCTTGATAATGTTGTGGCCTTGAAAAGGGGCATTTTTCCAACGCGCTCGGCGTAGTTGCCCTTGCGGAGCAGACGGTGAATACGACCGACTGAGAACTGCAGCAGCTGGTCATTCCATGACGGCGGCCCAGTATACCGGAGCACTGGCACCAACGCACTCGGCGTAGTTGCCCTTTCGCCCCCAGGCTCTGGTACTGCTGCTCTGGTACTGCTGCTCTGCTGCTGGGTCGACGGTCGGATAGACAATGATGGAACGGGCGACCTTGTTGGACGCTTATATAGTAGAACAGAAAATATCAGAGGTGTCAGATACTCGCATCTGATGTCTCGGTTGGAGAAAGTATAAGAATATAAAAAAATCAATCGATTTTCACCATCTTTAGACAATGGTTTACTTTTAACCATTTTTCAATAGTTTTCAGAAAGAAATCAATAGTTTTGAAACATTCAACAAATTGCTAGAAATATTTGCAATCGATTGATGCCATTCTCTCGTAAATCTATCAAGAGACGGTTGAGTTATTATCATTTGAAATCTTTTAATTTTTCGTAACGCATCCAAAATGACTGTTTTCAATTTTGTACCCCCGTATGTTGCCAAAAGACGTTATCCAACGTCAAAATCTCTGGTCACGTCTTCCTTGGGAAGGGAAGTAAAGCCGGTTGGTCCCCGCCCATGTGTGTTGAATGGGTGCGATATGCTACGCAGGTGTGGAAGCTGCCTTCCTACACATTCGATTGTCGTCAATGGATGGCAATCGATGTCCGTCGGTGATTGGCACTAGATTGCGGAACAGAGACCGACGTTAAAATAAAGGAAAGAAGTGTTGTTTCAACGATTTTAATTCAGCCTTTGTTTGAATAATTGTTGTACTTAGACCACATTAACCCTTGTCCAGCTTTTAAACATTTAAATCTGGTGATTTTAATCATCCGAAAGCTTAACAGTAATATAAAATATCCCAAGTAACAATTCAAGCTGAACATTCAGAACAGAAGCTGATTGTTGATTGATTTAAGGTGTACGAAGCTGCTTAGCATCAGGTTGACTATATAGTTGATTAATAGTGCATAAAGCGAATTTCATCCTCATAATTCAACCTCTAAAAAGTAGCTGCTCTAAAGACTGAACAAGAGTTATTCAAGCGCTATTTAAGGCGTTAAATAACAGTCAGCCAACCCTTGTTCAGCATTATATTCTTATTTCAAAAAAAATATGGAAGACCACTTAATATCTTATATTTTTTTATGAGATTTTTTACCATGTTTGCTGGCTAATTGGATTTATATATTTATTTTGTTATAATGTGTCCAAAAATTACCTTTGTATTTCGGGATTCGAACTGGCAGTCGCTGATTCACACGCGTCAACTATACCTACTGGACCACTAAAGCAAGTATGATCATTAACTTGAATCACGTCAAATTTAAGTTGAATAACAGCAGCCAGAAGAGTATTATACAGCAATTCAGAATTGTAAACAACAATTGGTGACAGTAAAACACACCTCTCATTTTCAAGTGCAGTAAACACAATGTGGGCTACAAAATGGTGAGTGACAATCTGGAAGGAGCGATATACCTAGCTCCGGTCCTCACAAGTTCCTACCTCACGCCTCCACAAGTCATATGATCACAAAAGACTGCCAGCTGAAACATGGACACAGCTGGTTGGCGTAGCCTGGGCAATGTTGTCAATCCGACAATAGCAGAGCGAGGAGGTGCGACCAACCCGAGCGTCTATTCACCATGGAGGTGCGGCTCAAACAGCGTCTGACTGGCATCCAGCGGCTGAATAAGAAATGCTCTTCCCCGGAAGCTACACCTAAGATGGCAGCCCCATCACGGCGGATAGGAGACCTTAGGCCAACCACCTACTGTCTCTGAAACCTTTACAATTGTTACAGAAACCAATAGAGAAAGACATCGAACTGATATAACGGCAACAACTTTTAGCGCAAAACAACGAACACGAATTGGATCGTATGTATTGACGTTAGCCCAGCAGGGTAAACTGGCACAACTCGCCAACAAGGCGCGACGCATGAAGCTAGAAATCCTGGGACTGAGTGAAGTTCGTTGGCCAAACTTTGGAGAACACAAACTGCCGTCGGGACAGGTACTACTATACAGTATGACCCATAAAAAAATGCGACATGGGACATTTTTGACGTTGGATAACGTCTTTCGGCAACATACGGGGGTACAAAATTGAATACAGTCATTTTGGATGAGTTACGAAAAATTAAAAGATTTTGAACGATAATAACTCAACCGTCTCTCGATAGATTTACGAGATAATGGCATCAATCGATTGGAAATATTTCTAGCAATTTGCTGAATATTTCAAAACTATTGATTTCATTCTGTAAACTATTGAAAAATGGTTAAAAGTAAACCATTGTCTAAAGATGGTGAAAATCGATTGATTTTTTTATATTCTTATACTTTCTCCAACCGAGACATCAGATGCGAGTATCTGACACCTCTGATATTTTCTGTTCTACTATATAAGCGTCCAACAAGGTCGCCCGTTCCATCATTGTCTATCCGATCGTCGACCCAGCAGCAGAGCAGCAGTACCAGAGCAGCGGAAGCAGAGCAACGGCAGCAGAGCAGCGGCAGCAGAGCCTGGGGGCGAAAGGGCAACTACGCCGAGCGCGTTGGAAAAATGGCCCTTTTCAGGGCCACAACATTATCAAGAAAGAGTTGAACGATTAATTTTCTAATACCTTTCCGACACTTTTTTCATGACTTTCATCGTCCTCCTGATATTCATGTGATTTTGTGGTGGGATTTTTAGCTATGTGAAATTCACATGGTTTTCATCCATTAGATACCTATGTGGTAAATTTTTTGAGTGTATGCTTCGGCAATCACAATAAAGTTTGCACGATGGAAGCGCACATCGTAAATTTTGTTCATTTTAGTAATAATTAAATTGCCTCTCTCCCCCTACCCTCTGGCAGTACATGAAAAGCCTTTTTGTGAGGGGAATTTTTCAAAAGGATGCCGATTAAAATAATGGGTACCATTTTCTGAGGATGAGATGAGGACGGTTCGTCATCCATATGAAGCGTGTCACGATCATTCCCAAGGATTCGTGGTTAACGCGTCTTATTTCTCTGGTAATACCGGTTAAACTCAATAAGAGGATTGTGATCGACTGGTTCCTCTCAAAATATCTGTTTGGATTTCATCCGAAGTTTCGGTCGCATATACTGTGCCTTTTTGAAGGAATCTCTTAGACTCTATATGTTGGTAGAATGTTCTACTTTAGTATTTTGTGTTCACCTACTAACCAGGCTCGGTTTTATTGTTCTATGCGCCCACAGTATAGGCGTAATAATAATCTAGAAGTATCGCTTCAATACGATTAACTTGTTGGCTAAGCAAAGAAGACCGGAAGTCCCAACGGTAACGGTAAATGTTGAGCAATGAAGGAACAATACAGTTCAGAATCAGTGGTCCGAGGAAAACCTCTTTTGAAGTTACTAGTCAAATCACTCAATTTATTGAAGGCAAGCAGTTTACGTCCAAAGCGGAGAGTAAGGTACATTAACCGGGATCCAGTAAACCGATGTCATTATCAGAAATCACACCACACTTCAAATTGGACGCACACCATGATCATTTCTGAAATCTCAACCGTAATTTGCTAATGAATTTCATTCCGCTGCATCAATGTAGGCCATAAGTCCAGGGCCACCGCAGCTCTGCAAGGTAGGGGAAATGGATCTAAGATTGGGCCCATCAACCATCATCGAACCTACTCGATGAGGATATCAATTAACTAGGGAGAGCATGACAGAAAGATTCAACCATGTTTTTAATGGATTCATTTTATCACTCCTTGCGCACCACGAAGGAAACTGTTTTGAAAACGAAACTCTTTACCATCAAATTGGTCGTCCTGAAAAGGACGGATTTTGTTAAAGGGTAGGAACTTGGATCGAATTTAGGCCTTCTTTTCGGTCTTCTTGGGCAACAGGACGGCCTGGATGTTTGGTAAGACACCACCCTGAGCGATGGTCACTCCGGAAAGAAGTTTGTTCAGCTCTTCGTCGTTGCGGATGGCCAACTGCAGGTGACGTGGGATAATTCGGGTTTTCTTGTTGTCACGAGCGGCATTTCCTGCCAACTCGAGAACTTCAGCGGCCAGATACTCCATCACGGCAGCCAGGTAGACGGGAGCACCGGCTCCAACACGCTCGGAATAGTTGCCCTTTCGGAGTAGACGGTGAATACGACCGACTGGAAACTGCAATCCAGCGCGGCTCGAACGGGACTTTGTCTTTCCCTTGACTTTGCCTCCTTTTCCACGTCCAGACATAATGCAACGAACGACACGAACAGTTCGATGCTGAAACTGTAATGATGACATTTCGTTTTTAGTTTAAATGATCTTTATTTTAGTTTAACTTGGACGATTACCATATAAATTTTTTTTACTAAGTGATTTAATTGCTTTCTTCATCTTTAGGTATGGGCAAAATTTAAAATTTGTTTTACAGGATTAGTCCTAGACTTAGTACACGGTCGACCACCTTGGTGGGATTGGTTTGTTTTGTTTTTAGAATTTGAAGAGAAACTACTTAATACTACTATTTACAGCTTAAAACTAACTTACTCTACTATATACACTTAACCTACTATGTACAAATTGCTTATTAAAGCATGTTCAGAAAGATTGCATTTTTGAATAAATTTAGTTGTCATATCATCAATTTTGGAATCTACTTTGGGAATTTCTGCCTCTTGATGGAGGTCTGCTATTCTTGTGTCGAATGGACGATCTAGGATCATCCTCAACACTCTATTCTGTGCAACCTGGATTTTGTTCCTGTGGGTCTGAGCGCACGATTCCCACACCGGGGCGGCATAGAAGATCGCGGGGGCTATGATCTGTTTGTAAACAGCCAGTTTGTTTTGCCTTGAGAGGCGGGATCTGCGGCAAATGAGCGGATACAAACACCTAACCAAGGCGGAGCACTTAACTAGGGTTTTCTCTATGTGCGAGCGGAACAGGAGCTTCTCATCGAACAACATCCCGAGATAAGTAACATCAGTGGACCACTCGACCCTTGTACCATCCATTATTACGGTACAGGAGGGAGACGGTTTAAGTTTTGGTGATTGTCTGTGAAGGAACATGATCGCTTGGGTTTTCGAGGCGTTGATTTTGATTTTCCACGTGGTGGCATAATCAGTAAAGGTGTCAAGGCATCGTTGCAGCTTGTTCGTAATTTCACGAGGCATCCTACCCTTGACGGCTATCGCGGTGTCATCTGCGAACAGAAAGAACACGCAACCGTCTCCTAGAGGAGGGATGTCCGACGTGTAGATGCTGTAAAGCAGTGGTCCCAGCAGACTCCCTTGCGGAACACCTGCTGGGATCGGAAATTGTCCCGAAAGGGAACTATTCAACGACACCCTGAACGACCTTTGCTGGAGATAGTTACGGGTGATTTTCACAAGGTATGGTGGAAAGTTGGAGTTACAAAGCTTGTATATAAGTCCGTCGTGCCAGACATTGTCAAACGCCTTTTCGACGTCTAACAAGGCCATGGCTGTGGACTTGGATACAGCTTTGTTACTTCGGATGTTATTCATCACCCGCACTAGCTGATGATTGGTGGAATGCCCCTTGCGGAACCCGAACTGTTCCGGAAGAAGAATGTCATGTTCCTCCACAAACTTGTTTAGTCGGCTGAGGATCAATTTTTCGAACAGCTTGCTCAGCGCTGAGAGCAGGCTAATCGGTCTGTAGCTTGACGGTAGTGAAGGGTCTTTCCCAGGTTTGCGGATCGGGATGATTTTTGCCACCTTCCAGATGCTTGGAAAGTAGTGCAGCTCCAAGCATCTGTTGAGGATGGCAGCCAGCAGCGAGTGGACCCTCGGGCTGAGATTTTTCAACGCTAGGTTGAATATTCCGTCAAACCCGGGAGCCTTCATGTTTTTACTATATTTCAGCGCTGAGCAAATTTGTTCCTCTGTAATCCGTTCTTCTGGAGGGACGGCACAAGGGTAGGTATCTAACGTCTGGACGCACTGCACAACCTGGTTCTCGAGTGGACTTGGGATTGTAGAGCCAAGCAAATGCGATTGGGCAATGTGCTCCCCAATTGCATTGGCCTTCTCTTCGTTGGTGATAAGCCGTTCGTCATTGACTCTAAGTGGTGGAATGGGCTTGGGGTGAGACTTCAGCACCTTGGCAACCTTCCAGAATGGTCTGGAACGGTCGTCCAGGTTCTGAACGAGCCGCCCGAAACTCTCGTTCCGGATTGAGACCATTCTGGAAGCGATCTGCCGATTCAGATCGACCATTTCGTATTTACGCTGCAGATCCCCAGTCCGCTGAAACTGGCGTCTACGAACATTTCTGAGCCGAATCAAGAGTTTGGTGTGGGAATCAATTGCTTGAAACTTACCCCTCACAGGAACTCGTCGAACGCACTCTTCGTCAGCCACGGATATGGCTTGATGGAGACCCTCCAGGGCCCGGTCGATGTCCTCCACTGTGTCGAGTGGTGGGTTGTCGTCGATGTGGCGGTCGACCACGCGTCGAAACTGGACCCAGTTGACTCGATGGTAGTCCTTCCGCTGGCACGGTGCAGGGGCCACGTTGTAGCCCAGCTCGGTCAGCACCGGTTGGTGGTCCGAACTCAGGTCGTTGACGGCAACCGGCTTGGCTAATCTGGTGTTTGCCAAGAACAGGTCCAGCGTCGATGGGTTGCCCGCCGGTGATGTGAAGGTTGGTTCGTCCGGAAACCAGACGGAATAGAGACCATGCTGGGAATGGTCGAATAGCAGGCGGCCGTTTTGGTTCTGCTGGTAGTTCCGCCAGGCCTCGTGCCGGGCGTTCAGGTCCCCTCCGATTACGAAGCGGGCATTGGTGCGGGTTATGATGGCAAGGTCGTTCTTGAACTGCTGTGCTGTACCATTGCTAACGGTACATTGCCGGGGGCAGTAGACAACGATGAACCGGACGTTTCCGGTCGATGTTTCCACCTCAACGCCGACGGCCTCGATGATGGAAGTGCGGTAGTGGGGTAGGGTGCAGTACTTGATGCCTTTCTTGATGATGACCGCGACACCGCCCCCCCTGGAGCTGGTGCGATCAAGCCGGACAATGCTGTGGTCGGGCAGCCAGAAGCTGTCACCGGTCTTGAGGTGGGTCTCGGTGAGAAGGCCCACGTCGATGTCGTGCTTGCGGAGGAAGTCTGCAAGCTCAATGTTTTTCGCCCCTACGGAGCGAGCGTTCCAGTTGGCGATCTTTATGGGTTCACGGTCCATAATTAGCGACGAAGGAGATGATAGCTTGGAGCTGTTGTGTTCTTGTTGCGCAGGTGCGCTTGATGATGATGGCCTGGGCCAACAGTGTGACGATCTCATCCGTTGACAGCGGAGAATCGTCTGTAGCTTCGCCGGTTGTACCGGCCAATCCCGGAGCAGGGGGATCCGTCGATGGCCCGGAGGCTTGACCGGGTACTGCAGCGGCAGCCAACTGTTGGTTGAGCGGGAGCGGCGGCAACACTGGAATTGGCCGTGATTGGACCGGTGATAACGGAGGAAAGTTCTGCGCGTTGTTTTCTGGAACCTTCTTGCGACCGGGCTGGTTGTTGGACGAGGCCTTCTTCCGGATCTCGGCGTATTCGGCCCGCTTCGGACAGGCCTTACTCGTGGCCTTGTGGGCGGCACCGCAGTTGGCGCATGTGGGAGTGGCTTCCTCGATGCTGTCGCAGTTGTCGATCTTGTGGTTTTTGCCGCATTTGATGCAGCAGCTGGCCATGCGGCAATTCCTGGTGCCGTGCCCGAACAATAGGCAGTTCGAGCACTGAGTGACGCCACGGTGGGTGGGCTTATACCGCTCCCACTTCACTACGATGTGGAACAGTGTGCGTGTCGTCTGGAGATCCTTCACGGTTGTGGAGTTCTTCTCCAGATGGACCAGGTAGAGCTGGTCACGATACTTGATGGCCTTGCTGCGGGTCATCTTGTGGACTTCGACCGGCTTGAGGCCGTTCGCCTTAATCTCGTCCATTAAGGTGGTGGTGTCCATGTCGTGGAGCCCGCGCAGCACCACTTTCAGCGGCTTGGTGGCCTCGATGTCGTGGGAGAAGTACTCCAGCTTCATTCTGTCCAAGAGGGCCTGAACTGCGTTAAAGTGTTTTTCGGCCGGGACCATCAGTTTGTAGCCTTCCGTGCACCGTTGAATGGTGCAGCGAAGGCCCTGCTTAATGTAGAAATCCAGCTGCTCCCATAGCCCGGGAGGGAAGCCCTTCACATAGAAGGGTGGCAACTTAACTTTTTTCGGCACCGTCTCAGGGTCCGACTGCGGCTGGGCTCCGTTCTGCAGGGCGGAGAACGGATTGTTGCTCAGCAGCTTTTTTGCTGCTGATGCGGTGGCGCTGCTGTCTTCAGGTCTGGGTCGTTTAGTTCCGGGAGGCCCCGGCTGCGGGTCCGCAATGCCTGTCGGGATGGGCAATGGGGTTTTCTTCTGCTTCTTCTGGGCTGGCTCGGTGGTCGCGCTATCTCCTGGGAGAGTCTGTTTTCCCGGTAAACCGGCACTCGTGTTACCGCGCGATTTCTTACCCATGGCTGGGTCAGCGAGAGCGTCACTACACAACGCGGAGCTAATTCGACTTGCGAACGAACGAACGAAACTAGAGAGAATTCAAATCGACTGAACTGCTCAACAGTCTGGCAGCGAATGATGACATTTCGACCGTCGAGGGTGGTTTTATACCTGCGTCGAGTAGCATATTATGAATACAGGGACGGTACAATAAATACTGTGGGTAGCAAAATACTCAAAATGGGATGAGTGTCGGTTGTCTCTACGGGCATAAAACGAGACAGCGTTGCCAGTATTCCTGATTTATTTGATTTTCCAGATTTTCAATCGTCTTGCCAGATACTAACCCAGATATCAAGAGCAAATTTTCATTACGTCGAATGTAACAAAGGTAAACAAAGTCGAGCTATCAGTGTCAATCGATGCTCCTGCTATTACACTATATACTGTCCGAATATAGGATCACATTCCATTTTTAAATGTATTTACCAGTCAAATTGCTTTTTGACGTAATCACCTTCCGATCAAAATAGTTTTCGATGTTACTTACACGCAGAGAAATGATTCTTAAATTCAAATGGATATATTTTTGGCTCAGGGCCTAATATATTTTTGGCATAGATTCAAATATATTATTCGGTTGATTCAAAGAAAAATATTTTTGAATCAAGAAACCGGTTGTAGAGTTAATAATCTGTTTGTTGATTCTAAAAACTATTTTGTTGATTAAAAAATATGTATTGTTGAAATAGTGA